TATTTAGTGTAGACATATAGTAGTAGTAATAGTATTTAAGTTTTTAAAATTAAATAAAGTAATAATAATAATACGTAGAGGAGAGAGAGTAGTAGTAGTAGTAGTAGTAGTAGTTAGTAGTAAGTAGTAGTTAGTTAGTAGAAGAGAGAGAGAGAGAGTAGAGAGTAGAGAGACGAGAGAGAGAGAGAGTAGAGAGTAGAGAGAAGAGAGAGAGAGAAGAGAGAGAGAGAAAGAGAGAGAAATTCGCTTCTCGGTGAGCCTGTGACTATTTTTTATTAATTGTCGATCAATAGATTTCGTCCTCGAGTTCCTTGACCTTCAGCCTTCAGATTTCAAGCCCAAGAAGGCTGCAAGGCTGCAAGGCTTCACAGTATATGCTTTATACTTTATACTTCACAAATCTGAAATGATGATATCACAAGTTCCCACTTCCCAGTGACAGAACAGAGTTGAATGTTGACGACTGTTCACAATTCTACTATTAATATATGTTGAGAGTTAAGACCGTCGGAAACTACTTCACACATGTCTTTTATTACAGTCAGGAGTTCAATAATCAAAATACGTCAAGGTATTCTCTTTTAAAAAAAGAAGACATATCGCGACAGGTCGGAAACTTGTTTGTTTCGAAGACATAAACTTGTTTCTTACGAAGTTCTATCGTATACCAGCCTACCAGGCCAGATAAATGGAGGGGGCTATGAATTGCAACATGCTTGCACATAAATAGATACAAATAATATAAAATAGATACAAACCACAAAAAGCGAAATTGCCACAAGTCCACAACGCAATTTTTATTTTATTTTTTATCATAAATATGTTTATGTTTTTTATATGTGAACAAACAACAGTTATATCAGTTCATATTTAACCCCCACCAGTGACCAGAGTGATACCACGCACCACGCACTTAGGAGCCAACCAGATTTTAGTATATACTTTTAAACTTACCTGTTAAAAATACACTAATAAAAATAACCAAAAAAAATTGTTTTTCTGTTTTGTTTTGCTATTTTAAAAAAACCACTATCTGAAAATTCCACACAGAAGGCGATGGTATTCATTTTTACATACTTTACATACTTTACAAGTATTTAAATATATTGGTTAGTATGTCAAAAAAAACAAAGACAAACATATGACAGTTGGCACTCTTGGCGGTGCCAATCAGGATTGTTAAACGGACAAATGGACTAAACTGTCCGGAGAAATAAAAAGGCTGTCCATGATATTATGACCTGTTTTTGAGTCTGTCCATGTGTCTCATTCGAAAAAGACCTGTTGTCCACTGGTAAATTGAAAATCGCCTGGTACAAATTGACTCAAACCATTTGCCCATTTCAAGATTGATGCCTGTCCGTTTGTTTGGTCCATATAATGCCCTTTGTCCGGCTGTCCGTAAATGCAAATGGTTGTCCGGGCGGGACATTTTTTGTCCGTTTAACAACCCTGGTGCCAATACTCACAAGAAGGCGATGAAATACTGAAATTACCTACAAAACAAAAGGAACAAAAACTGTTCTTTTTATTTTATAAAAAAAATCAACCCACAAGGTGTCAAGAGTCAAGACAACAAGTTGAAAATATTTTCAACCAACCCATTTTCTATATAAAAACAAAAATATTTAAATATGCATACTGTTGAAGGCTATTTACATCTTCATTCGGCAAATACAGTCAACTATAAATATAAACCTCAGCTCTCTGGTCACTGGTGTATTTTTAGACTGTAGCGGGGTTTTAACACCGATTTTAGCTAAATCGGTAGCAAATTTCACCATGCTTTTCTTTGATAACTTTTCCGCTATTCAACATTCAATGCGTCAAAACTTAGGTGAGCTAGTTTCATGGCCAACCATGTTTCTCCTTTGTATATGACTAAGCGTATTAGCACAGTCGCTTGTACGGCGCGCATTTGTATGTTTTAAATGGTCACGAAATCTTATCTATGCATTTTGATTCAGTTAGAAATTTTCAAATTTGATTGTTTTGAGATATAGGGCCTCAAAAGGCTCTATCAGTACATTTACCCCCTCAGGGACCACATTGGGAACAGAGATCCCATGTCTTAGTTCATGGAATGTAGTCAATCAAATTACAGGGATATTTATGAGAATGCCAACTTTAACGCCTGCCGTTTGTCCAACGGATGTCTAACGGAAATGTTCTAAAAATAGATTTGGCAGATTTTCGCTCCGTGTGCTACAGGTTTACGTAAAATCGGTGTTTTAAACAACAAAATGTTACATATGGCTATTTTTTTGTTTTACAAAAAGAGTAAAATAAATGCATGTAAATATCGTTAATATTTACAGTTTAAAATCCACTTGTTGGTCTTCTTCTCGTAGTTTGATTTCAGAAGGCTATGACTCGGTATTTATTTTTTCCGCATTTGTGTAAAAATAAACATTGGAGAGGAACTAAGATATGTAAATGGCAATACAAAATTGTTGTATGTATCACGTCTGTACTCTTATTTATAATAAATAATTTATGTACTAAAACATAAATACATGGCCCGCTGGATTAGGGTCTCTGCTAGATTTACGATTTCCGCTACGACAAGAAACCTGATTTCTGCTCGCGACCCTAATCCAGAGGGCCGTGATAAATACATCAGACTTTATCTATTGTTTTCTGATTGGTGATACATATTGTTGGTGAATACAGAATTTAAACTGTATTGACGACGGGAAGAATTGCCAGTTTGTAAATATGTCGATTATTGAGACTTGAGTGACTGTCGAGAGTGTAGACTATTGATTTTTGACAGTCTGGACTCTGGCAGACTGTCACAGTGACACAACTACATTACTGCGCTGGACTCCAAAGTTTCCATAAAAAGTGCGGTGCTCCCATTCACTAACCTCTCTGAGTAGTGAGTACTGACTCCAGAAACACCCGTTACTTGAATGCCCCGTACCTTGGCAGCCAAAGGTCACTGGATAAAATTCAATCAAATTATACCACCAATATCAGTGGACTTCCGCTTTCTTCGGAAATGCCCCCAAGTATCTAGACTCATGACTCGTCACAGACGACAAACGCCACCAGTATCCCGCGCTGGGCTCTGCGCCAATTTTAGAACATGTCCTGGTACAGCCCCTGAAGGCAATTCGATAGAAGTCAACTTTAGAGCTATATACTCAACCGTTGACATCCAATAGCATTGCCACCGTTCTGTTTGTCAATACGACTCTTGTGAACGATAGTTCTATATGTCGTGATACAGAATACGGTCCCTTAGTATGAGATAGATGCAACCCTGCAGATAGTCCGGAATCGATACATGCGAAATAATTTAATCTCAGCCCACAATGTAAAACCTAACAACTTCAGGTATATACGAATACGCGCAACATAGACAATACATTTCAGGTAGGGGAACAAAACCACGACTCTCGGAACTGCTAGACAGATCTTTAGTCTTTATTCTTTGAGCAGATCTATAGGGGTGACACTTATTCTCGTTCTATTTATAGCATGTGTGGCACGCGCCCTCAGAGCTCCATCCGAAGTATCCACTTCCTATAGATAGTAAGTGAAAGTACATTGGTTAGCTGCGAGAAGA